TATGGGAGGTACCCGTTAATCGATTCTGATTGGCTTCAAACTTTTTTTCCCAAAGAACGAAATTCCAGAAAGTTTGAAGCCAATCGGAGTCGATTTACATGTACCTCCCATACAAAAGTGTCAATTTCCTGAGGTTTTTCTTAGGGCAAGTACCCCAGGGTCAAATCGAAAATGGCTCATCTTCGAACTTAAACTAAGTTTTTCGGATACAAAACTTTTGGCATTTCCAGATTTGGATTATCTCAATCATTTTTTGAGTTATCGTGTTAACAAACACCAATGACAACGACAACGACGACGGCACACGAACGGAAAAGTGTCTCAAAAAGTGGTTTTCTACGCGTTTCATGAGTTTTTATGATGATCTAAGCTAATTTTGCGAAAAAAGTTTTCGGGACCAATTCCTATACTTTCCCTTGACACGTTGTGTACGGAAAAGTAAAATGAAAACAATTTTAAGGGCAAATCAAGCAAATAAAGGTCTAAAAGTGATTGTCTTACCATGCATGAGTTACAACCGGCATTGTTTGGCATACCCTTGAATGGTGGATTGGCATAGCAATACGGACACAATGGATACGAACGTCCTTTCGTACCGCTTGAAAATGCAAGCAACTCAAAATCATCCAATGGACAACGGAGCTCCTTATAGGCTCTGCAACGAATAATTCATAAGCAATGCTTTCTGTTTTGCCAACAGCAAAGAATTGTCTTTACTAACCTGACTGTACCGTCTTTAGGCAGTGTATACGTATCGTCACATTGGGTACAATGCAGTCGAGCTGGCTTTGTTTGGATATACTTCATGTAGCGACGGCATTTTCCACAACGTGAAAATGCCTTTCCTGAGTCAGCAATGGATGCAAACGATGCTTCGAATAATGAATCCATTACGCATATATTTTGCACGAAAAATAAAAATTTCATACGGAATATTTCGACGGCATGCTTTAGAACCGAACCAAAATCAGCTAATGTGGAGAAAAGTTTAAGCAGTCGTTAGTTTGAGCCAATTTGTTTAGTTTAAGATAAGTTTTAGCTTGAAAATATACCTGAACCAGCTGCAATCAAGTTCAATGCCTTCTCAACGTCGGAACGCATAGTTGGGAGCACAAGTTCTGGGTCAATCTTTTGATATCCATGTACAAGAACATTTCCTAAGGTTGTTGGTATCAAACGTCGGCTCGATGCGATCGTCACATAGTTGCGCTGGCAAATGTTGTTTATGTGAACCGGAATCGAAGCATCCGTTCCAATGCCATGTTTTTCCATAAGCGTAATAAGCTCCGATTCAGTTAAATAGTCGGGTGGTCCAGTTTGGCTCTCCACCAATTTATACTCGTTGATTTTCACCGAATCACCCTGCTTGAAACTTTGCGCTATATCATCTTTACCAAATGCCTGCCATGTCATACACTTTGTATACCCGGGATCAATCAATTTGTTCGTCGTGCACGAAAATTTCTCTGAACCGACAGTAAATTTCGACGTTGTCTGTTTGTATCGTAAATCTTGCGAAACAGTAGCCAGGAAATGACGACAAATGTAATCGTACACACGCCACGTGTCATTGTCCGTCTCTCCTCGATCTGGAAAAAGTAACATAAATTAGATTATGACAATTTCAATATTGATTTGGTTATGGTTCAGGCAACGGTGAAGATAAAAAAGATGGAAAAAATTTCTTACTCAATAATTTAGCAGGTGTAATCGGTGGATGGTCTCCACAATCAGTTCCACGACGTGGAGAATTAAAGTTTTGTGCTACATCCTTAGCCTCAGTTCCAAACTCCGATGATGGCTGTAACAAGCGTACAACACCACTAGAAGAAATGATTTTTAGAAATTTGCGTTGAATTGAATGAAACTTAGGATTTTATGATAACAATTTTTCCTAAATCAAATGTCTTACTTTAAATCAAAGTTTTGCGGATAGCTTGTGGTTTCCGTACGTGGATAACTGATATAACCTTGAGTGTAGAGACGTTCAGCCAAAGTCATGGCAGTGTGTGGTCCAATGCCCAGGCCGGCACTAGCAGCTCGCATTAATTCAACCGTGTTCAGGGCCAATGGACGTGGTTTGACCAGATCTTTTTCAATAACACTTTCAACACTGAATTCGAAGGGAAAAAAACAATTTTTATGTCAAACAAATAAAAAATTGGTTGAAAATCAGAACTGAAATAATATGATCATCTTACTGAGCATCTTTGTGTTTCTTGACGATGTTCATGAAGAAATTAGCTACATCCTTGCTAAAAATACGATTTCTTGCCCATTCTAATGTAACATCCGAACCACCAACCGATAGTTGAACATACCAAAAAGTCTCAGGCTTGAAATTTTGTATTTCATCATGTCGTTGCACACAAAAACCCAGTGTTGGCGTTTGACATGGCCCATAAGAAATTAATGATGAGTCCAAATCACCATAATGACCCTGTATTCAATTGAAAAATGTAAATTTTTTTGCGCCGATTTTAATTAGTTTGTTTTACCTGAAAAAATTTCGTTTGGAAGCGAGTGAAAGCGCACCCAATTCGCAAATCAATCTCTTGCCGTGCATCAACACTGCGTGCTTCATTTTCATTTGGCCGAATCAAATTATTCATTGCATATTTGATGTCCTTTTCCGTGATTGCCGAAAATTTGGCACGATAGGTCACCTCATTCGAATAGACATTACGAATTGAACGTGACACTGCGTCCATCACTTCAAAGCAAATATTTTCCCCTTCCTTATCGCAATCGAGCCACAGGACCCTTGAAAATAAATTGATATTAGTGGGTACGTAAGTGAATAATGTGATAAGAGTGGAGCTACTAACAAATAATCGCAGCCCTTTGCTTCTGTGCCCAAAAATTGTCGCATTCGCAATTTCGGTGTGGCTTCTTTCTTTTCCGTTGGGCAAGTGAACAGCTCCACTGGGTCAACGCGATCCCATGAATTGTATTTACCTAATCGAAGAATTTATTAACGAAACATAATTCGTCTGTGCAAAAAAAATCGATATTTACCAACAAAATCCAATGACATGACATGACCGCACACCGATGTCATTTTGAACGTAACATTCTCATTGCGAAATACCCCTTTCCATTCATGCACTGAGCACGCATTATTTGAACCTGTTTAGGATTCAATACGAACAAAATTAGCTAAAAATATTCCCATAACCAATCGATTGAGTTTTCTCTTACCTTTTCGATTCGAGTTCCGTCCATTGCTCAAAATATTTGCCAACGAAGCAGCCAACGACGGCTTCTCCGCTACCATCAGCACCGACTTCATAGTTGCCACACGATTCTTTCTTCTCACTAATTAAAGTCCGTTGTTATCGGAAAAGTTTCGCTGGAAAATTATACAGAAAATAATGCCGCCTATAAATTGATTGTTTCTCTCCCCGACACCAACTAAAACAAACTATGCACCAATGACAGTTCTGTTGATGTTGTACATACACATGTCCGATTTCTATAGCGTCTGTGTGCTATTAGACAAACGCTGTCATTCAATTCAGCACACCCGGATGAAAACCAAATGCTCAGTTTTACGTAAGACATTTTACCGATATATTTTGCAATCGTATTTACAGACAAAACCAAATAAAAAAGCAAATTCATATCACAAAACCATTAAATCAATTTTCATCCAAAACATATCTTTTTTACGTATTTTTTGTTGGGCTGAGAAACATCTTTGTTGGATGTAGCGACACCACGACAAACGGACATTCAGCGAATTAAAACCTGACAGAACTCAGCCTTAAGGTTAGGTGTCAAAACGCTGTCATTCAAGTGCGTGCTTTGTTTGGTTTCACATCAACTCGTGCTACAAAAGTAACAATTTAGTTTTTTCTTCAATTTTCTCGAACATAATATCAACTGAACATCTTCAGAAAGATGTCGGAGCCAAGTTCTAAGGATACTGTTCTGAAAACAGCGATGGTATATGTTTGCGGCGGTAAGTTTTTATTAATCATGACTATATCTGCCTCACAATATGGCATGTGAATAGTTTCATTCGTTGAGAACAGTCCCATTTAATTTAGTTTATAGCCTTATTTCCCACTTCGGATAACATTGAAGATATCTACTAAACGGATTCATTTTATTTTACTCTCACCCATTAGAATGTCACTGCGAGAACGAAATGCGGCCAAAAGACGCGATTCGGTGCCGAGAATGTGGTTATCGGATTATGTACAAGAAACGTACGAAGCGGTGTAAGTAGTTTAAATCACATTTTTGCTCAGAGTATTTCCTATAATTTCATAACTTGAAGAAATCTATTGATTAAATTCTGTTTATTTCACATTTCACAGTGATTGTATTCGATGCTCGCTGAGCCAGAGACAACACCATCAATTTAAACTCAATTGGACATTCACACTAACCAAATTACGATAATTTTTGTGCTAAACTTACTTTTCGGTCGGATAATAAAAACAAGTTCATAACATACAATTCGCACGGTGTTTTTTTTATTGAATATTTATTTTGATTTTTTTGTCATTAGGAACATTCATGCCCTAGCACATTACACTTGGACGCACAAGTTTGTGGTTTTGATTTGTCTTTAAAAGGAATATAAATTGAGTTTGTTTTTATAACAATTACTGTCTTAGATAACTATAAAAAACGAAGATGCTACTTAAAAGAGACTATTTCTCACAATTATTTGATATGAATGACAATGGTTGTACGTAATTACGTACTTGGGCTTAGATCTACATAATATTTTTTGATACGAAAGTCTGAATTGAAACCGTTGGTGTCATGCAATAAAACTTGACTAAAATAAACTAGATGATTCATGAATATTTGGGATAAAATAAAGAAATACTATTTTAGGCTATGTTTTACAATGAGAGAGAATCATACCCATCGCCATTGTTGCCTGAACAATTTCGATCTACTTATTTTTCAAAGCATTGAATAGATTTCGACCGAGAGTTTTGTAGGCAGGACCGTAATTTCCGTAGGAATCGGTTCCAATCAAATTTTGTTTGAAAACAACAAGACCATTGCTGAAGATGACTTTGGTCCTCAAATAGTCAATTTCAAACTGTTCAAACCAAGTTTGCCAGGTGTTCAGATTCGACCAACGTTTTTCAACAATTGATTTGAGGTGCTTTGCATGCATATCGGCCCCGACCATGATTTGACAGCAACCGCAAATCATACCAACAATTTGGTTTTTTTCCGCCTTTCCCGTTTGGATCATCAGCTCGCTAGAAATTCATAACAAATGCAAATGGATGATATTGAATTCTGTGCAAAAATGATATGTTGACATTCATACCCGTGTTGTTCACGATGATGCGCCATGACTTCTTGTGACGTGTTGAAAGTTGTTCCGCAATATTTGCACTCGAATTTCCTGTTCAATTCTAGAAGCTCGGCCAAAGTTTCTTCTGTATACCGGGTTGGATTAAATATCTTCAATGACAAGACCTTTTTCATTTCATTGCAAACGTGCGCATTCAAATTAGGTCCAACATAGGGACAAAGGACGCATCGACGATTTTGCACAGCGACAAAATGCTCGTTTGGGTGGACTTTGTTATGATGTTTTTCCAGACCAAGGAATGTGCTAAAGTAGCGACATTCGCCAATATTGCAATGGATCAAATCGACCGGGTAAAATCGGAATGGATACTGTGAATCCTTATGTTGTGCGTACCAATGATCGTACATCATGTCAACTGTTGAAAATGTAAATGATGACACATTCCGCAACCTTTCATTCTTACAAGCGAAACAAATCAATTCCCTTTTTGGTTTGGTCGTCTTCACTTCTGTTGAATAGAAAACGTCGTCATTAACCACTTTTCAAACATAAATATGTTAGGGGATCCCTTACCTGGAACCATTTCTTTTTTCAATTGACCCAGTGGTACGGGTGACAACAATTCGTTCAATAAATCGACACCATTCATTGGGGTGTTCATCACCTGAAAAGGTGTGCTGTCTGGCACACGCCCTCTATGCAAACTGCTTATAGGCACATCTGATACTGGCATGTCATCTTCCATATCAATCGGTTCAAATGCAATGGTCTTCGTACATTTTTCCATTGCCAATGCCATTTCGAAGCGTTTGCAGGCTTCCATCAACCTAAAATATGTTTTATTTAGTATTTGATATCAAATGTTATGTAAAAGCCAAGTTTATGAATCATGTTCTTACCGATAGTTTATCGCTTTCAAGAAATTGATCTTGAATTCACGGTTGTAAGATGTTCCCGTTTGCATCAAGTGTGCTTGGATATTGTTGAGAGACTGCATGGTTTCACGATCAATTGCATCACAACACCGTGTTAGCTCGTTTAGCCAAATATTGTTTAATGCCATTTCGACTTTTCGTGTGGTATTCAAGATGAAAAATATCGAATGAGCAATGTGATCTTATCAATTCCAGACAGTGTGTGCTCTCTGCGCTGCAGTCTGCTCACAAATACAAACGAATAGTAAGACGCCTGCGAACAAATATTTTTCTTGTGAATAAACATTTTGGTTGAGCTCGATTTGTTGCTCTCTCATGTGACAACATAAATATTGTTTACTTTCGAAGAGTGTTTGATATTTTTTCTATGACCAAAATCAAAACAATACTTACTTTTGTTGGTAGTTTTGTATCGAAATAACTTGTTATGTGCCCAATGTCTGTTCCATTAGTCACAGCATCGTGTATGTTCTGCGATGAATGACAACTATTGTTTATCGGCTAAGCAGCACTGCTGCCCCTTTGTTAATATTTAATTGCGATATTCAAATCGATCCAAGTTCTCCGCGATAACAACTGCACTAAACGTATGGATAATTCTTTATTTTTTCTCTTGTTAAAAACTGTGAAAGAATTTTTTGTAATAAAATATGCAATTAAACGTCGTGAAGTTCTGACCGGTTATACACTCTGCTCAAATTGCACTGCATCAAATATCACACGTCATTCTAATATGCTGTGTCAGCTTTTCATTTTCTGGACATAAGCATTTAAGGTTAGTTTTCGTTGTACGACTATTCCACACCAAGTAGGACAAAATTCTGATTTCATCTCTCCGATTTTGCTCAAACTTGGTGTATAAACTTCTTATGGGCAAAAACTCGCAAAGTCAAAAAATTAGGGTGATTGAAAATTAGCGTGGCCGATATTTTGCAAAAAAATGACTATAGCACTTTTCTCAAATTTTTCACTATGAAAAGTGTGGTACAAACTTTCCAAACCATATGCATGGTTGGATAAATAATCGATGGGCCTCGTCGAAAATTAGCCTAAGAATGACCTGTTCAAAATTGAATCAAATCTTCAAACGAAACTCAGATTGATGCAGACGTGTGCAAGGGGGGGGGGGGTATTCCGGTTTTACCCCCCTCTAGGATTCCAAAATGTGGACCCCCCCAGCGATTTGGAAAATTTGACACTAGATATAATCGATTTTGAAAATGAGGACCTTTTTTTTTAGGTCTTCACTTGTTTTTTGACACCCATTGGCAAAATTTTAGACCCCCATTGTGGAATTTTGACTGTTTTACACTAGATAGAATCGATTTTAAAAAGTGAGGACCTTTTTTTTTTTTTGTCCTCACTTTTTTCGGAGACTGGTTTTACACTAGATAGAATCGATTTCCAGACCCCCCCTGGCAAAATCATTTTACCCCCCCCCCCCTAGAATTTTTGACCTTGCACACGTCTGGATTGATGTTACAGATTTAAAAGTCCAACCACATGCTAACAGCTTATTTTAGTATATTTTGACACTCAATCTTCTGAACTATATTTGAAGTGGTGGTAAAGTTTAAATTGCATTTTAGATTGATCGTTCTTGAGCTAATTTTTAATGAGAAATCCGAAAATGCAATCATTAGTGTCCAAAAATGAGGTCCAGTGCCTTGATTTGGGCAGTTGTGATGAGATTGTGCGATTTTTTTCACCCTTTTTCTTCAATATTAGCCTCCCCAATGCCAAATTTGAGGCATATAAGATATATAAGTTATATGCCAAAAGAAACTAGAGACCAGTCGCTACATTTAAGAAACACATTGCACTTGCGTTGGTGCCTTAGAAACCATTTAAGATGGTTGCATACTTGCAGGAGCATGATTTTTCAAACTTTCGACCCCAATTTGGGCCAGAGGAGAGGTTTTTATGAAGTTAAAATGTTCTACGCGTAAGTAAGATTTTTTACGAGCTTTCCGAACATCATAGTGGTTTGGTGGTAAAAGTGGTTTTCTGCCCTGTATTTGCCCTAAAATAGTGATTTCTGGTGATTTTTCGATTTTGAGAGCCTCTACAGCCTCTCCAAATGGAAAGGTGACCCCAACCAATGGTATCATTTGATTCGTTGGAGTCTGGTGAGCGTTTTATCGGAACGCATCAGCAACGTCAGACCGCCTATTCGGTGTGAAAAAAATTTATATAGTCGAAAAACCATGAAAAAATGGTAAATGGTGACCACACCGATTTTTATTCTGGCGGATAGGTTGGGAATATCGTGAAACTCAAGAATTTGAGGTAGGCCAACGTTTAAGCCCAAAAAATCGAAAAAAATAAGACCACGTCAATTGGAGTTTTTCCACATTTTATACTTTGAACCCACTTTTCAGGGCCTGAATGGGCCCGGATGAGGTGGTCGTAGTGGACTTTTTTGTAGCCCCATCGATTATCTATCCAACCATGCATATGGTTTGGAAAGTTTGTACCACACTTTTCATAGTGAAAAATTTGAGAAAAGTGCTATAGACTATAGTCAATTTTTTGCAAAATATCGGCCACCCTAATTTTCAATCAGGTGGGGAAGGTCACCCTAATTTTTTGGCTTTGCGACTTTTTGCCCATAAGAAGGCAATTTTCTTTAAAATATAAATGAAAAAACCACAATTAAGATATCTTTCGTGTATCATATTTAAGATTGCTTTACCGTCAAGTGTTTAATTCAGCCATTCCGTGCAACATTTTGATGTCGTTCTTTGAAGAAAAAAAAGATTTTTCTACATTTTTACTACTTACAATACAATAATTTCTTACTCTTGTTTTTCCTTTTGAAATTCGTTCCACAAATGATTTGTATTTTCAATTTTTTCGGTCATACCAAAAACGTTCAATGAATCAGAAAAAGAGAACCCTTGAACCAATTGATTTCTTTTATATCCATTTTCTTGTTTATTTCTCTTTATTTCAAAGTAAATAAGTAATTTCATTACATCGACAAATTCAATCTCAATCGAGTAATGTTTGATTACAATGAAACAGGCCATACTCTGACACATGTTATTTTCCGATTTGGAAAAAATCAAGACGGTATATTAGACCCGTGGCTGAAATATCATCAGGTATCGATGGATCATCATGAAATTGAATGGTGATGCCATTTTTCATTTGGACTTTAGATTTTGTTTGGAGGCCAATGGCACAATTATGCGGAGGATTTTGCTTGAATCGAATTTCATACAAAAATCCAGGTTTTATTAAAACCGGCTCTAACAACACCAACTGATTGGTATTTGAGCTGTTCAGTATAGTTATTCCATTGTGTTTCACCTCTTCTTTGAAATCATCGGATACGGATATTTCGACAATTGATATTTCTGTTGGAACATTTTCACTTTCAAGGTATTCGTAATGGAATCAAATAGAAATCTTTTGAGCATAAGCAGTTCGTTGCTGGAAAATTTAATTGTTTCCAAATTTTTCATCAGGTACGGGTCACATGATTTATTTCTCGATGTCAATCGATTGCAATAAATCTCGTTTTCGACATTATTTGGAACTATACTACAGCATTTCAGTTGATTTCTTTCGCTTGAAGCCTTTCCAAGGACTTCGTCATACAATGCGACACCGAACCATGAATTCGTACCTAATTCGCGAATCATCAGACAGAGCTCTCGGCATGATATCAATTCAAAACGAATTGGTCTGATCAAATCGTTAAATTTAGTATCCATGTAATTTTGTGCTAACTTGTCATCCGCGAAAGTTGCTTGATCCAGCACAAAATTGCCACGAAAAGCTCGGCTTCCACCAATTCAATTTCAGAATTTCGGCCAACACCTTTTGTTCGCATGATAGGAAACCAGTTGACTTGAGTACAGCATTGAGCCCGATAACATGACCGCTTCAGATCGTCTTGGTTGAAGAGTATTGCCAATCCATAACTTCGGCAGGCGTTGTCGTCGTTGAGATTATTTTTCAGGAACTTGCTGCACACCGCCATACACTCGGGCACGTTGTACTTCTCGTCGAGATTCATCACTGTAGCAACGTGCTCCATGTTCAGTTTGACTTGACCCAAGTAGAAAAACTGCAGAAAAATTTTGAAAGCCTCAGCAGACGCATCGGAAATCTCTACCGCATTCTTATCCTTTCACATTCCATTGAACTTTCCCGCAAATTCTTCACTTGCCGCCATCAAGTGGACTTTGTGGGCTGGGACTCGTTCGTAGTCATCATTTGGTCCGAACACGAAATGAACATCGGCCAGTTCAGCTTTCAAGTACAACTTTTCTCCGATTGTTGACAACAGTTGAGTCGCGTAGTCGCTGTTAAGAGGATCGAAAATCGGCATTGTTGTTGACTGCGCTCCTTCTTTACGACAAATGTACTGCAAAATGAACGACAAAATGTATTACATATTTCATTGTCTTAAATTTAGACTTGAAGAAAATATTCAAAACCAAAATTCATTTTCACTCACTTTCAACTTTGGTTGAGGTTATGTGCGATGTTTGTGTTCAATTCACCGGTTTCCAGGGAGAGAATAAATTCTTAGCTGCAATATGTCATTTTTTAGTTTGTATGAAGCCCATTTATTCAATCGAATATAAACAATTCTCATTTCAAATTCAAAATTCAATGCTTTGATATATGAGTGTTTCACACTTTTTAGTTGATTTAGCAGTCAATACGGAATGAATGTGCAGAAGTGATGTGATATGACGTTTACGATTCGATCTGTATGCGTGTTGGTGTTAGTGCACAGTGGTCGTGATCGAACAGAACAATATGAATGTTGAGTGTGGTTGTCCTGCTTAGTAGCGGTTTATGTTGATTGAATGCACCAGCCAAAGCGAGCGAAAGCAGCGAAAATGACGTTTGGTCAACATTCGTTGTATGTTTGGAATTAACAATTCAAAAAAGTTCGACCGCTTAAAATATACAATAGTGTAATCAAATCAATTTTCAAATGAAAAAATGTTGCGTGTGTTTTTATTTTACTTCTGCTTTGCTTCTGCTTTAAACACAACCATTCAGTTTGTTAACCTCAATGAATCATACGTAAGTTGCTCATCCATGCTAAGTATGTTTTTATGAGGTATTTTTCTCCATTTGTTTTCTCCATATTTTTGGATTTTCTTATGTTGGTTTCTATAGAAATTCGTTTCATTCAAACCTAATCTTAATTTATTTAACCTTTCCATTTGTCATAATAGCTCAAATAAAAGAGTATTTATCAACCCTGCACACCTATTCTGATATTTCGAATTTCACTCTACCAAAAGATGTACATTTTCCATGGCACGCCACCATAGTCATTAAATATAATCATAACCCATTAACACCGTATCCGCACTATTATTCGGGGGTGATTTTGAATGAAAAATGGATTATTGCCACGGCCAAAATCATTGAAAATGCATATTCGATTCGCGTTGACGTTGGCTCAGTCAACATAAAGGAACCAACGGTCAGTGTTTATCCCGATGCATACACATTGCATCCGCGGCAGCCACTATATACAGTGAGTTTTCCTGCATATAAAATGTCACACTATATACAGTGAACTTTGGCCACATTAACTGTATATATTGGCTCATTTTATATCCAGTGAACTTTCGAAATTAACTGCATAAAGTGAACATTCAAAGTTCACTGTATATAGTGTGACATTTTATATGCAGTGAGAATTTGTTTAACCACATAGAAAGCTCGGCGCGCGCGCGCTTTCGCTTTCTATGTGGTTAAAAAGACAATTTACGTATATTCAACGTAGCATTTTCCTTTCTTTCATGAGAATTATAACCAATATCACCCATTAAATTGCAATTATAACTGAAGTATTTGTGTGCATGATTTTCAATTGAGTTCATCTGTTTGAATTTAGAAAAATTATGATTTTCATAGTGCGACATCATATTAAGCAGTAGTCTTTATACGGATGATGCTGTCGTAGATAGAATTGGTGAGTTCTTTATCTCCTTTTTCAC